AAAAGCTGTTTACATTTCAAAAAATAAAATAATACACTTCAATAAATTATTTTTGATTAAAATGTTACCACTGCGAAAAGTGATAAATAGTAAATAATAATATAACTTCTACAGCATTACTCATTTTTCAAAGCTCAGTTTGTTATTTAAAAAGTTCAAAGCAATTATCTATAATGTCATAACAGACTTCAAAAACACTGATATCTTGTTTTCTGAAAAAAAACACAATGCTTTCCCCCAAAATTCAAAATGCTCATTTCTCGAAATCTAATATATTAATTGATCTTTCACAATTATTAAACATAAACAAATGAATGTTCAGTGAATCGATTTCATTTATTATTTTTAATCTATGAAAATAAGTTGTAAAACTGCTTAAGTTCTGAAAAATTAATTTTGAAGTTCATTTGCTTGCAAAAATATTTTCTGAATTATTAATGCTTAGCAGTAACAAAAATTACACAAATAAAACTATCATTAATCCATTTCACTTATTATTTTTAATCTAATTTCCTGTATTTTCATTATTTGAAATCAACTGAAAAATGCACACAAATGCAGAAATCAGTACTACAGCATTTTGCTAGGTTTTTGAATTTACACTTTTCATATGTGTGAAATGAAATGACAAAATAATAATACTTTGAAGAATTTTTTGCAAAAACTATTCTATCAGATAAGTGCGAAAATGCATTTTTTTTAAATAATAAAAGTAGAAAAATCTAATCTTAAAGTCTATAATTTTTTTTTTTTTTGAAAAAAGCTAAAATTGTCAAATATTCTTACAGAAATATCCGAGTAAGAAAAAAAATAATATTTAATCAGAAAGTGTGATCAGTTATGAATCAATCAAGCAATTTCAAGTTTAATAAATGAAAAAACAAATTTCAGCCTTAAAATGCATTACTAGAAGTAAATACAAAAAAACAAACGCAAAATCTAAAAAAGCTAACTAATAAAAGTAGATAATTTAAAAACTAATAAACGTTTAATTCATTAATAAGTTTTTTATTTCCACAGCTTACTTTGTTAGTATTTTCCACTCATTCATTTTTTACTAAACTTTTAGTCAATAAATAATTTAAAAATACTAAATGCCACTTTGATAAGGAAAGAATTTTAGTTGGAAAAATGAACTGTGCATCACTTCTTGGAGAATTGCTTGATTGACTCGTTACTGATCATATTTGTAATAAAATATTTTCAGTTCCGATTCCTTGCTGAATGTTTTTATTTGCAGAAAAAATTAGTACTAAAAACAATTAAATGGGATAAATAAAATGGAAAATTGTTAACTAATCTAAGACAGTGATTGATATAATTTGATATTCATTCAAAAATTGCAACAGTTTAAGCTAGAAAATCCATTTCCTGGATATAAAAGCTTAACTCATCTTTTAATCGAATTTATGCCACTATATTACTCACGTAAATACTCACGTAAACTTTTTCCTATACACAACTGCAATTTAGTTAAAAATTAATCGACAAGGAAATTTTTTACAAAATTTTCATTTAAAATAATTTTATGATAAAATCTTGATATTTGCTGATTAAAGATATTTATAATATTTTCTAATTTTATAAACATAGTTTGTTATCATATTTTTATTAAGCTACTTAAAATAAGTAATCTTCAGAAAATAAAAAAGTTTATCTTTACATTCAATCTCTAAGATAAAAATTGGATTAAAAAATGAATGAGACAAAATAAAACTTAATTACAAAAGAAATTGAATTCTTTATATTCATCCAAACCATTTAGATTTAGAAAAAAAATGATAAAAAGTTTATTTGAAAATGTTTATTGTAGAATTAGTAATGAAACTATGAAACTATTATGAATAAAATTCACTTAATCATTCGAAAAAGTAAAAAAAACTTATTTATTAAAAGCTGTTCAATGGTTCTGTAAGCTTACACACTAATCTGTCTAGGATTGACAATTTAATTTGATTAAAACCCCTAATAATACTGAATTTTTTTCAAAAATTTATACTTCAAATCAATTGTTTCTCGTAAGAATTCATTAATGTGGAGAATATTACATAAAAAATAAAACACGATGCACTGAACTGATTTGCGATCAACAATTAAGACAAAATTTTCGCCAAATTCAAAAAAATTGAAGCAACTAAACGAAAGATAAAAGTTGTAAGTACAATTAAAAGTGGTAACGATTGAGCGTAATACTTTTTAAAATACAAATTATTTTTGTAAAAAAAGAAATCTCTTAATTTAATAAACTGTTACAATTTTTTAAATTTTATTTGAAAAGGATACTGCAAATTTTTTGCCAGCAGATTTTATTTTGTATAAACTTTGCACATTTTTTATAAATATATGATTAATCTAAATGACTGCGGAAAAAAAAACGCAAAAGATGGCAAAGTCAGCAAAAATATTTTATTAACTTCGTCAAATCATTTTTCATGTCTTAGTAAAAATGAATGTTAGTGTGCATTTCTAGTTGAATCAGAAATTTTTTCTTAATTTTTATAAAATTTTTGTAATGTCATCTTTTTTGATGATAGTATCATAAAAAAGTGATTGCACTCAAAATTGTGTTCAATAACTCAAAGAAACTGAAAGAATTACTTATCAGAAATGTGATTATCGTTGCCCAGTGATTTGCTGCTGCTTTGAGAATAATAATAAGCGGTTTTGATTGTATCATTTATATTAAAATTTTGAATAAAGTCCCATGATTGACGTGTAATTTTCACTGATTGAGCATTATTCGATGCAACAGCTTTTTCTAATGTTTCTGATTCTAATTCTTGCAAAAGTTGGCAGTGATAACAATGAAAATTTTGTCGTGCTGATCTAAGATATCCAAGATTTACTGGTAAATGAGGAATACTTTCATGTTGTGAGATAAGTGCAGACCGGTGTAATAACTGATTTCTGCCACGTTCATCCAAGTTAAATGATAAAGATGCACTTAATGGTCGTTTACTCATTTTGTTGTGCATTTTTTCGAAGTGTTTGACAAAAAATGACTTAAATGAGTGATGAGATCGTACATCAGAAGCAAATTTTTTCACTTTGACGTCAATATCACGTGAAATATTAGCAGTACTAGTAGTAGGTTCAATATTTGACTCATCAATTGCTACAGAACGAGTAAGTACTGCTTTTTTCTCAGTTTCAATAAAGAATGGCGGATTAGGATGCGAATAAGTGCGCAAATTATGCAAAATACTTTTGTTTTCAGTAGAAGTTTGATTTAATGATTGCGCCTTACGCATAATTTTCGGTGGAAATGTCGATAATTTTTGTAATACTTTTTGCTTGCCGTTAACTTCTTCACTTGTTTTACACGTAGATTTTGATGTTTGCGATGAAATATCTGCTACTAACGATTGTTTCTTCTCCATACAAAATTGGTCAGGAATATTAGCCACAAAAATCTTAAGTAAGAGTAGAATATAAGAAAATCAAAAGTGCACTTGAATTATCGTAATCAATCATTTCTTTTCTTGCAACAAATAAATTCAAATTAAGCATTCTGGAAACTTTTTTTATTATAGCATAAACTGAATAATAGTAATAGTAGCAGTTAGTATTGCTATGCTAATAGCTAAAGCAATAATTAATGAAAAGCTTATAGTGATTCTTGATTATAGTTGTAGGCTGCAACTACTAATACAAATATTTAGATCAGTTTTGCTCGATTTTAAATAATAGTATCGTTGAGCAGTTTTTCTAAATAAATAATGATATGCGATTGATAGTACACAACACCAGTCTCTGCACTGTCATTTCTAAATAGATTAGTATTGACAAATTTGAACAAAAAGAGGAAGAGATTATTTGATATGAGTTGAAGAGAACAAAAGACACAGCAATAATAATAACAATAATTGATAATAATAATTGATAATACCAATAATAATAATAATAATAATAATAATAATAATAATAATAATAATAATAATACATTAATAATAGTGATAATAATAGTATAATAATAATAAATGTAATTGCTATCGTAAATGAATACTAAATTAGGTAAAAACTATTTTGATACAAGGAAATGAACTACTGGACCATGCAATACTACTGTTTCTATGAATACAGCAATGAAATGAATGTAATGTCTAGATGCATAAATGAATGCACTCATGTATGTGTGTGTATGTGTAAGGAATGCAGTTTGTGAGCATTGGAGTTGGTTAGTTGTATGTTGTGTGCAATGTGCTGAAGAAGTGTTGTCTGAGAACGACAGATGATAATGATAATAACGCTGATGATAGTGGTGACTATGATGATGCTAATAATAATTATTATTATAATTATTATAGTGTGATGATGTCTCGTCATCATAATACTTGTTATGGATGCCAAAGCGATAACAGCCATTATGGATAACAAAATAGTTGATCAAACTGTAGTCGAGTTTCAAGTTATAATAGTGATAATGCTAATAATGTTGATAACATTTGTAACATTGATGAATGAGAGTGATTACCGGTTGACTGCGTAATAGATAAGATGACAGAGCAGGAAATAATAAAATAGCGCTTTATAGTTACCCTTTTTTATTCAAATCTAGCATTTTTCCATGTTAACATATGTATTTTATTCATTCACAATTATTCATTTATGAATGTCGGCATATCTGTTTGTAAAATATATATATAATATTTTCATTGATTTATATGTTATATATGTCATTTTACAATTGATTATTCAACGATCAATATTAAAAAATGTTTTGTATATCTAAAATTTTTTAAAAATTACGCTATGTGAAAAATTTAATAGGGTGAAAAATTTTTACGAAAAGTATTGTCAGACGCCTGAAAATTTTAATGATGCATGACAAAATTACTTTTCATCTCTGAGGGACGCTTGTGAGCTTAACTATTCAAGTGCTGTGCAAGTAGCTGTAATTCAATTACCTCAAATGATTTTTGTGCTTAGAAAATTGATATGATGAATATATATATATTATATAAAGTAAAAAAGCAGATATCAGTAATAATAGAAGATAAATGAACTATAAAGCATAATTTATTCTAATTCAAATATTATGACAACAAAAGAACTTATTATTACTTTTAATATCTTTTATAATTTATTCAAACAACAATAAATTCTACTATAAATTTTATCAAACTGTTTACAAAATTGATTGATTTATTTCATCTCAATCAAATGCCAATTAAATGTGTTCGGGCATTAAAAACATTAAAGAAATGCTGATAACTTTTCATTAAGTTTAAATTTTGTAGCAACTTTAAGGATATAAAAGTTGTAGCATTTAGACATCATTCTTAGTAAGTGGCTGAAGTTTTGCATGCATTTCAGTTTTTCGTACATATCTAGAGAAGTTAAACATATCAGTGTATTTAAACTGTCTATATGAAAATTTAATATGATATTTATTCCAAGAGGTTTAATTTAAATTATCAAATATGAAAGGATATGTAGAATTGAAGAAGAATTTTATAAAACTAAATTTCAAAAACAGAAAAACCAAAAAAAAAAATAAATGAAATACAGACAAAAATGAATTTTAGCGAAGATTTTTCGCTCGTTTTATTAATCATGCATTCATTTGTTTTAATAAATTTCTTTAATATTTGTGAAAGAAGTAGAAAAACTTTTTCATTTAAATTAAGAAAATGATATAATAGGTTTTCTTCTTTGAAAAAAATGAGACCGCGTAAAAAGGAAATTGGTACAAGTTTTCAACTTGAATCAACTGAAATCATTATCATACTACTTGCTGATTTTTGCATCACTTAAATTGAATTTTTTTAATTAAACTTTATGCACTTAATTTTGATGAAAAAAGCAAAAAAGATACTGCTGATTCCAGATAGCAAAAAAAAAAAAAATTGGCTGATGATTGGAAACTGGAAAATACTAATTTATTGTGACTTTTTGACTAGATTATTTTTCATTATTAATACTGATTATTGTAGTCATAATAAGCTTTGATGGATAAAACTGCTATTGTATACTAATTATAGTATTTTGTTTCTATTTTGAAGGCTATTTTGGCAAAATTTAGATACAAATTGTTTATTACTCCGTCATAATGATAATATTGATACAGCTAAGGTCGAATACATTCACGCCTAACAAAACTATGCTTACTTTTTAATTAGTCGCTTAGAATGCTCATAAAGGCATTTGTATTATGCTAAAAATTATTATTAAAAAATTTTAAGGTAATATTTACTAGTTTTTAAACTAAATGAAGTATCTATTGTTGTGATGTGATTGTTGCTGCAGTATCAGTTTGCAAGTATCAAATTTATGAAAATTTCGCTAGTTTCTGTATAATTTCATTTGTTAATTAATATCACAGATTTTCTAAAAAATGAAAAATTAAATAAATAAATAAATAAGATTTGAAAGTACCTCCAGTACGGCAATGATTTTGGAATCACTTCTTTCAAATGCATTTCGCACAACTCTGGATTTGAAATAGATAATCGTGAATCAAAATTGCATGATTTTTCGTCATCAGAATTTTCTGGGCTAGAATAAATTCCAGCAGATGCTATAAAATGAACCTTTGAATGATTATTTTCATGCCTGTTTGTAATGATATTCACAGATAACAATATTACTGGCAGGGAGAATAACAATAATCATAACTAATGATAATAATAATTAATATGAATATGAATGAAACTAATTACGATTTAATATAGCATGAATAAATTTCTAAACAAGTGTTAAACTTTGAAAGCAATTAAACTTGGAATTTATCTTCATTACACAATCACTTTGTCATTTAATTTGAAATGTTTAAAATATAGTCAAAAAATATTAAAAGCGCACAATTTTCTCTGGGTCGATTTTTGAAAGAATTGCATGAATAGCTGTCGTTGTTTGGCGAAATCGAGAAGTTTTTAGATTGTGTCGGCATAATATTAATTAATGATTCGATATGAGGTGAAAGGTCAAGTTGAATAAGACTTGCATGAATATTATGCCAAGCTACTATTGCGCCTACCAATCGACTTGAAATTAAACTTAATTTCTGAAAATTAATGTAGAACAGACTTCTGTTTAAATACAGAACAAATTATATTCTTATGAAAATGTGCACAATTCTCAAACTTTAAAGTTATTTTTTTACTAAATATATATGATAAGTTTTGAGATGACGTATATTTTAAGTCTTTTGCTTAGATTTAAGTTACATGAAAATAATGTGAAGAATTTTGAAACCAAAATCAAATTCAAATGTAATAAAGCCATGCTTTTTTTACATTTTGAGAACAATCTTCATAACTTCGATGAAGAATAACCTTCTCAAATTCAATACTTTTCATAAACATTAAATTGGGTTGAAGTAATGAAGCAAGTATGAATAAAAAATTAAAATGCCAATCAGCAGCATCTACAAAAATATTTTATTTTTTTTCCTTACAACATAGCATTGCTTTGAAATAATTTGATACCAAAGAATAGCAAGCTTACACGTACCGAATCCGAGCAATTATCATTAGCAAAGCTATCACTGTAGTTGATTACTGATCCTAAATTTTTGTATTTTTGAAACTTTAACTGCTAATTTAGCATAAAAATCTAATCAAATTTTAATGTATATTAAATAAAGAAAAAGTATAAAACAAGTAAAACTGTGCAAAATCAAATTCTACTTTTTTGGTAAGTCTTTCTTCGAGTTGGTGCACTTAAAGATATTCCATGATTTTTGGCGAAATATTCACGTTTTTTTTCTACATTTGACTTTGACTCACTCTATAATTTTAAATTCATCAAATACTGAAAAGCAACTGGTGAAAGAAAAAACATAATATGGATGTACCGAAAAATTTTGAAGTTCGAGAGAAATATAAAAAATATTATTGCATTTGATTTATTATTTACCATGATAATTAATATTAATACTATTGTCATTCAAGTTAACTTATTATTAAATTTTTATACACTACATTTTTAAATTTTTAATAATCTTTTGAGGAATTACCTTTCTGTCTTCGAAGTCATGGCAAACTAATAGTTTCCTCATGTTCATGAACTGAAATTAAAAAAGAAATAGCTTGGACAGAAGCAAAAAATTAGATGGTTATAACGTGAAGCGCAAGAATGAATTTGCACAATGAAGTAACAAAATTGTTAAAAGCAATTAAAATCACTTATTAAACAAAAAATTTTGTAATTATGTTTCTGTTATCTAAACTAAACACTACAATAAACAATTACTTTGTGCAAACATTTTCTGAATACATGCAAAATTAAATAAAACAAAAACAAATTTTTAAATGATGCATGCAAATTTTGCTCATTATTTACTTGATTAATCAAGTGTATTTGACATTACTTACTTATAACATCCTTCTAGCCATAATTAATGTTTGCAACTTAAGAATGAAACAATAAAAACTGTACAAAGTTAATAAAAATTTGCTTATCAGAAATATTGCTTTTTGTATTTAATCAAAAAATTCACAGTTTTTCCATCTGAGAAGCATCATATTTGGCAAACTTGGCGGTGCAATATGAAGGAAATACACACTTATATGGATAAGAGCAATTTATGCACTGAAAACATTTATACATTTACGTGGAAATTGAAGGCAAATGAAAAATGCTTCTTGGCAATTTCAAAATCAAAATAGACAAATAAAGAACCGAAAATGCTTTTTCCTGCTATGTGTGTTCTGAAATCAACGTCAAAATTGGTTAGTTCTTCCATAAACTTTTTGCAAAAGTTATTGCAATTGCTTTCAGCATACATTATCTTAATTTTTTCTCTTTACTTTTCATAGTTTTATGTAATGGCTTCTTTTGCCACTTATTAGTAGTTAATTAAGAAAAATGCAAATATCACTTAAGAAAAATATTATAATATGGTATAAATAATATGCATTACACTTGTAACTGTTAAAAAAAAAAGAAAAAAATTATTAAACAAATTTAGTTTTTCTTTACTGTACAAAAATTTTATAATATAACTGTAACTGTACAAAAATTTAACGTGTATTTTTATCTCTAAAGCAATTTTAAATAGATAATTTATTACAAATAGATATTAAAAATAGATATTTATATGATACTTTCTTCTTGATATATTTCATTCATGTCTCAATTTTCTATTTTTGTTCTTTTCAATTTTTATTTGAATTTAAATTTGACCAGTTATATTTTGCTGCTTTCATTAGCAATTATATTTTGCTCTTTTCAATATCTCAGTCCCATCCTTTTTATACTTTATTCTAAGTGTAACTGTTTTTATGCTTTATTTTCATCATTCAACTTGGCATGATATATTACCATTATTTGTAGGCTATAGATGCAATTCAAAAGTACTTATTAAAGCAGCGGAAATAGCAAAATAATATTTAAAATTTTTTCTCTTCTCTATCAATATGATTGCGTTAGAATGGTATTATGACTGGATGAATGTTAAGTGATCCTTTTGAATAAGTCACGCAATTATTATATACAAAAAAAAGCGTACATTAACATCTGTTAAATAATAATACCTTTGAAAAAGCAAAACAAGCTATCATAATATCACCTTTTCTTATTTGTTTTATGCTGTTAAAATTTTGGATTCTAAAATACGAGTTGGAATAAATTTGATTCAGTATTCTACTGAATGAATACTTTGTAATATTTGATGCCATAAAAATGAATTGGCTCGGAAAAGAAAGTTTGGTGTGATCAGTTTTTTCAAAATCTTCCGATAACTTTTTCACTTTTTGTGATTGAGATGATCATCACATCATGTTAATAATATATTTCATGTAATATTCATTTTAATTGCAAAAGTGTTTTACTCATGGAATTAACAACTTTTTCTAATTATTTGCATTTTTTTTTTTTTGCGTTCCGCTTACATTTTGCCACAAACAAAATTACAATAAACTTTATAATTGTATAGCTTTTGTATGCATGAAAAATCTCGATGTCAGAATGATGCCAAAAGACTACTTCTTTTCATCAAGCATGCTTGTTTTTTCTTAAAATAGGAAATGAAACTTTACATTTTCTAGGATCTCTTCGTAAGTTTCAAATCAATCGCAGACAGTCTTCTCAAGCACTACTCATTTTTTGCTATTTAGGGAATAATTCCTGAACACAAGCATCATTTGTCATGCAGTACATATTTTATAGAATAAAGAAGAACTTATGGAACAAAAAAAGTTCATTAATACCTTTTCACTCTTTAAATGCAAATAAGTGAAAAAAATACAAAAAAAAAAATATCTAAATTTTTATTAATTTGAAATCAATCACATGTGTATACAAAAATCGAAGAAATAAAATCTTGCATGCTCTTTTTTTCATATTTTATTGTTGTATTTTTATTGTGCAGCATAAGTTGTTTGATTATCACATAATAATAATTTTTTTTTTATAACTGCTTGGAAAAAATGTAATAAAAAATACTTAATATAGGCAGTACTTAATGGAAAACAACAGACATGAAATGTGTATATGGAATTAAGTACATATAAAGAGAATTTTATAGAAATAAAGTTTTTACATACAAAAATATTACAAATGATAAGTCATAAAGCAAACGTTTTTGGACACCAACAAAGCAAATGCTTTGAAAATATTGAATTCATCTCATTAAATCACCAAACAAATCTTTTATTCCGTAAATATTTTTATTGGAGATTTAGAAAGAACTTGGAACAACGGTTATATACGAGTAAACTAGGAATGACATATTAAGAAACAAAAATTTTCAATAATAGCATGAAAAAGACTGTTTCAAAATAAAACTTATTGAGATTTATCCATATCAACTAAATGATTTTTGACATTAGAAAGTTGAATATAAAACAGAAAATTTAAATGTTTAAAAAATTGAAGGTGGTGCTGATAAGCGCTAATCCATCACAACAACTTGTTGCATCTTCAATATAACATTTTAGAGACAAAGTGAAAGATGATGTAATAATATAATAGTGATAATGATGAAAGGTATTAATAATGATGGTATTTAATAATAGTGATAATAATAATAATAATAATAATAATAATAATGGCAAAATAAAACATGGAAACCCGTTTAATCTGCTACAAAAAATCTGCATAAAGATGACTTGCAGTTTATGACAGTGATAATGCGCGGAAGCCACGTGAAACTTTAATATGAAGGACAATTAAAAAATTAAACGGTACACGCGCACAAATACAAAACAACTGCTTTCGCTAGAATGGAAAATTTATAAAAGTGATTACTAAAAGGCCTGAAATCAAAAGCCTGAGGCAAAGTGAGACTGAAATAAACTATAACAAATTAGCTTGGAGTGATTAAGTAACAAATATTTTTAGATAAAATCATTTTCAATTTCAAATTTTCTCAGATTTGAGCTATGAAATTGGATACATACGAAAATATTCTCGTTTATGCAATTAGTAACTGATGATGCTGAATAATTCTCAGTTGATTCAATTCATTTCAATTCAACAGAACTTACTTTACATCTTCTCATATAGAACTGATCATTGAAACTGATAATGATTTGGTTGCTAGAGTCACAAAAATGCCTCAGAGTAATATGAATCTGTCACTAGTTGGTGAATACGCGTCTTTGATGACTTAATAAAATACAAAATTTAACGTAACATTAAGAGTAGATTTTTGCGATGGATTATATATGCAAACGTATGAATACATTTCAGACGGAATTTCTGAATGGGATGCAAAGTTACCAAAAATAAAACAATTTGGTAGTCTTTTTCCCTATTCCAAGCCAAGAAATTATAATTAACAAGAAAAAAAGACAATTTCAGGTATCGAATTCAATGAATAGAATAGACATCATTTTGTATTGCAGTGTAAATCAGTACTTATGAGCAATCTGGAAGAAATTTACATCAGGCGGTCAAGTTTAAAAACTTTTCATAATGAATAGAATACATCATAATTAACTGGAAAAGTTTACATTTTCGTATATTTTGAAATGCAAATTTTCAAAAAATCACTGCACCACTTCCTGTTGTGAATTGGCATTGTTAGCTTGGATACGGATCAGCGCTTCCAATGGATCAAATTGGGTATTATTCGATTGATTATTACATACTGATTCTTTGATTGGTGATAGTCGTTGCAAAACTTGCTCGGCACCTGGTCCATCTAGCCATGGCCATTGTTCACAGACAAAATCAGTTGGATCTTCAAAACTACCACAGCGCCCAAGAACTTTTACACCTGTGAAAACAACGAATTATCAAATATAATACATCATTGATTTTGCAAAAACATTATTTAGCAATGATTAATTCAATGATTTCAGCCATCATAACAAATTTACCTTCTTTAGCTACTTTGATCATGTAAGGAATAATCATTTGGTTCCATAATTTAATAAACCATTCACGTGATTGCGTAACATTCAATGGACATTGCAAGAATAAACGTGGTCCTATTGTCACATCTCGGGAATTAGCCTTCTCGATGAACTAAAAATTTTGCGACATGATTGGCATTTTTGAAATTTCGCACTTACTAATATCTTTCATCATGCTTATTAAATAAAAATCAGTTATGACAGTGATTTATGAGAACAGTTAATAGTGAGGAAATTATTAGAACAAATTCCAGTCGTAAATAAACATTTTCTTCACAAATTAGCTTTAATTACCGAATTGACAATTGATAAAACTCTTGGCAAGAATTCAACAATTCGGTTGATTTCAGGTGATGAACGTTCTTCATTGCCAAATTCTTTTTCCAGTATTCGACGTCGTAAGAATCGCCCCATATATCCACGAATAGAATCTACATTATTTGGTAATAAAAACATTCGGAAATTATGTTGGACCTGGAAAAAACAGTGCAGTTTATAAACTAAGGTAAGAAATAATGCTATTTTAGATATATTGCAGAATTTTAAATTAAAACGTCGTGCATACCGGAGAAATCATTACAAAGATGTTAAAAAATAAAAAGTCTGAAAAATAATAATAATGTATATACTAAATGATGCAGTTATTTATCTTTTACGTTTGATTCATTGATCACTCTCAAACATTAATTATTTTTATTACTGCTGATATGATTAAGTTCTGTAGCAAATATTAACAAAAATGATCAAATAATAAATCAACTTACTTCAAGTTCAGGTAACTGTGATGCGCGATTTACCGTACATATTACATATGGTCCTTCTTTGGAAGATGCATCAACAGCATTAAATGATGAACTAAGAAAAGCAATCCGATGTCGCTGAATGTTATCCAATAGGATAATCACCGGTTTTGTTGAGCGTAACAATGATTCCAAATGCTTTTGAGCCTAAATATGACTATAAATTGGAAAACTTTAGGTACCAAATAAACTTTATGTAAAAAAAGTAAACTTTAAAAATAATTAATTTTGATAATGAAGTAATAATTTACTTCTAAAAAATTAACTACTATTTAAAATGATAGATATGTGAAAGAAGATGAAAATACGTTCTCAAAAGATTTCAAGATAAATTGTTTCTTATTTTCGAATAAACATGCGATATGGCTGTTATTATCAACAATGACCTGTGCTAAGTTGCGGTCGTTATCATTTTCGCTAATTTTTATGTCAACAATAGTATTTTGCGGTGTTCCACCAACTTTGACACACAAATATTGCGCTAATAAACGAGCCAAATTTGATTTTCCAATTCCTGTAGCACCAAACAGTACTAATCGACGAGTTTGCAGTACTGCTTCCAATAAAAGTTCTACGGTAGATCGTGGAAATAAACAGTCCATTACTAGTCCATCCATACTGCGCTGTGTTACACCTGCAAAGTTGATGTCCCTTAGAAGAAGATATCAATAAATTATGCACAACATATTAAATTCAATAGTTATTATCACTGAATTCCAACTCGCTTTTTAAAGAAAATTTAACAAATATGACAAGCAAACAAGAGCTAAAGGTATGGTAGAAAACCGCAATGATGTGATTTAGATCTTGTGATTAGCACTTAAAATTTTTGTCCTATTTTTGTCTTAACGTCACAAAATTCCACCGCGCTACCTATACATATGAGAGGTAATTTGACTAAAATTATGATTTTAAGAATTCCTAAACATATTCACCAAGATTCAGTTTATTTTGAAGCATTCAAAATTTCATGCTACCACACTGTAAATCATTATTTAAAGAAAGTTCGATTTTAACACAATACTACACAAAAATATAACACTGCATTTATAAAATCACTTTTGGATCGTTAGATAATAGAAAAAACCTAAACTAATAGTTTAATTTTATGTGCTGTGTGATTATTTGTTTCTTGAAGCAAAAAACAACTTTCAAAAATGATAATGAAACTTTATGCTTTCGTTATTAAATGATTATTTGTCTAAATTGTAATCAAAAAAATTAAACAAATTCATCTTGTCAAGTTGAAAAGAACTGTAAGTAAATATTTCATTTTTTTTTCATCCTGAATCATTTTTCTAAGCACTTAATTAAGTTATAATAATTAATTACCTCTCAAATAAATTCGTATGTCGAAAGTATGAATGATTACATCAGCGGGCATTGGTGATGGTGCAGAATTTGTTTCTACATCACGGATAAAATCACCGAATTCATATCCTATTATTGATTCTCTTCCATTTAATTCCAATGCTCGATTTGAATCAATTTTTCCCATATAATCCTTTAATTGAATTTTTGACTTTCACTGAGTGCCATTGGCATATTACAGGCATAATTGAAGGGAGAATCAAACAAAATTGCAATCTTAGCTATGAATTCACTACAAGCTTTTTAAACTTGGCTGAAAGTATTTATTATTATTATTATTGTTATTATTATTATTATTATTATCACTATCATTATTTTGAAAATTATTATTAGTATTATTATTGTGATTGCTAATTATCGTTATCATTATTACCGTAAATTTTGCATAAAAGTTGTTTGAATTTTTAATGATAAGATATTGATTCGATTTCAGAATAATATGCGATAAATCAATATCAATTGTGCTTAAAATTATTTCTTATAGTAAAATGACAAAATTTTGCAAAGCTAACATCAAATAGACGAAAAAGTTCATCATCAAAGTTTTTCCAAGTAGTAGTAACAGAGGGTAATGCAATGAAACCAATTGAAACTTCACCAGCTAATGAACGTGGTCGTAGTAAACCGCTAACATCAACACTCACTGTAACTTTCAAAGTGTTTGATCCATCTGAAAGTAACATCCGTGAAGTGAATAGTTCTAAGTGTTGCGTTTAAACTTGACAATTATTGCAAGTTTACTCTTTTATCATAAACTAATATTTAGTTAGTTTGGTAACCACAGATAAATTTTCATTTCAAATTAAAATTAAGCTTTATCAGAATGAGAATTATTTATCGCTGATAAGATGAGAAGAAATAATTATTTGCTGTAATGTATTTGCTCACAAAGAAAGCATTTTCGTTTCTCGTGCAGAGCTAAAAAAAATTTGTTCCTAGAGTGCTTGAATCAAAAACAACGATGATATTAGAGGTACGAAAGTGTACTTGAAAGCAGACAACGTTCACCACCAGCTGGTGGAACTTCGTAAACTGGACATTCGTCTGATACAGTAGGCAGTGATTGCTGTGAACTAGCACGACTCTCAGCTCTCATTCGTCTTTCCAAAATCGTATAATTCTGTTTCAATATTTTATTTTCATTCTGAAAAAGATGTTTCTATTTATGATGGACAACTTTTTAGACAATTCATCACTTCAACTAATTATTTATTCACACAAATATACACTTATGTCTATTAAGATTTAATTCTTCCTTCAAATAAGCAAAAATTGTATCAACACAGAAGAATGTGTGAATTTTTTTTTTGTGTTCAAAGAATATCTATTTAAATACAAATGATTGTTTACTTTAAGTCTGTTGATTGTCTCCTTGAGAATATCAACTTCCCTCGCTTTGTCAAGCGCATCCAAACGTACGTCAGTTAAAGCCGAATCTTTATCTTCCAATTGCTTCTTTAGTTCTACTACTTGAGGAACTGCTTCCAATTCATCTAATCTGAATTTACATTTTCGTTTATTACAAATATGCGTAGATTTATTATAATTCTGCCATTAAAAGTATATGTTTTTTATTCCAAAGACTATCAAATATACCTGCTTGAGCTACCGGAAATTGGTTTCAAATTTGATGGAGAACCAGAACTATGCATAGGTGAATGTTCTGCATCAGACATTGAACCACTTTTCACTTTTTTACTTTTTGTAAACTTCGAAAATGAACTTCTTATCTGCAAATTATTTTATTTCAATCTTCTACAAGCGCTCTGTATGCAAAAAAATATGCGTCACTTACAACAGCCGTAAAAATTACGAACACACATACACATACTCTCAATTCACATTGATGCACATTGCATGCAAATTTGGATTACTTGACAAACTTTTCACAGTTAAAGAGTAATTTTATCATTCTGTAAATTTTGTCACAATAAAAAATAAGCAATACAACAACAACACAGAAATGAAAATAATAATCAAGAGATTTATAATAAGCGTAATAAATTACGTTACCTGACAATCAACGCTTGATGTCTGTGTAAATAAAGAAATTAAAATATGCTATGAGAGAGAAGGAAACTTTTGAAAAGACAACAAAATGTAATTAATAGTAAATAAATATAATTTAAATGAATAAAATACTATTATTCTTTATTTAACGAAACTAGTCTTTTAGATATTTGCCTAGCTGTGAATATTCATTCAATCATGTAAAATTTGCGTCAAATTCACTTACCCAACTTTTTTTGCCTTGCTTGCCAAAGCTATTCAAGCTACTTTTATCAGTTTTACTACCTTTACTGGATGAACTCATCGATGATCGATGACTTGTAACACTTTCCAATGATGGATGTCGTAGTAATTCTCCTGCCCCATCTTGCTGTAATATTAATAATATATTTAAAATAAATTCTTATAAAATTATTTTACTTTTATTCATGTAATTGTTTCCATAAATTAAAAGTGTAAACTAATGTAAATTAAACTATTTTACAAAAATTTGAAGATTTATTTTTTGAATTTTAATTTCGATGTGAAAATAATTAAATACTTAAATAATATTAACCAATTTTGATGGAGATGATGAATGACGCTGTGTAATAGATGCAACGTTGGAGACATTTACGCCAGCATTAATACTCATTACTCGAAGTTGTTCAATTTCAGCACGTAATTTTAGTACCTCATCTTTCTGAAATTACTACTCCTTCTTCAAATACTACATGAGTAATAACACTTGTTATTAAAAAATTAGAAGGTTTGAATATTGCAATACTTGCATTGCAAATAACTTACATTTTAAAAGATAAATGAAAAACATGAATAAAAAATATGCTTGCAATATGCACAAAACTCATTTAAACTTTTGATAAGCAAAAAAAGAACTCAAAATAACATAAATTGTTTTAGTTTTATACTGAAGCAGCAAAACAATTTACCTTTAACTGTGATTTACTTTGTAGATTCTCAACATGTTTCGCCATTAACTGTAATTTAGATTCAAACAGTTGTATTAGATGATTATAGCCATCATGTTTAGCAGTTAATTTTGTTATTGTACTTCGGTATGATTGCATTTCCTTGTTTAGTTTTCGAATCTCTGCTTCGTATTTTTCTTCCATCTAAAGTTAATCTTAAAGATTTTTGAAAAATTTATTTCAAATAAATAAGCATACAATGCAATTTTAGAAATAACAAATGCTTATTCTCATGCTAAAATAAAGATTTTTTATCAAAAATGAAGACAAATAATTGTAATAATATTTGCTACCATGACGACCTCAAACTATAAGCATATCTCATTTGTCATGGATTCAATTTCGAACTTCATACAATATATTTACAGCTTTTGAAATTAATTGATGGTAGATTTTTTGGAAATAAAATTTCAGCTAATCATATAAAAATGACAATTATACTAAATTCATCGATAGAAACAAATTTCATAGAAACTTGATATGCATCATAATTATTTTAAATGCATGAAATAATTTACAAAAATTTAGAAAAATAAATTACAAAAAATTAAAATTGAAGAAACAAAAGAGTATTTACCGATGAATACAAAGAATTAGAGGAAGAAATTAGAGATAACTGAGAGTCATTAGCTTCTGCTGAACCATTTGGCGATAATTTTGATGCAGCAGAAAGGTAGCCTGATTCTGCATAACGAGAAGTTTTCATTTGTGGAGTTCTAAACTTGTAAATTAATTAGCACTGCAAAAAGTATTACATGAATTTCAATATAATAATGAAAATTTTTGCACAAAAGCTTTTTTCTTCACAAAGTTTCTATCAAAAATTAATAAAGTTCTTTTCTATGACATGCATATAAAGCATTTCATTTTATTTCAGCAACAATTATGAAGATTTTTGTTTCAGATAAGACTTTTCTTTGAGTCTGAAAAGCACATTTAGATTAAGCTTTTTAGTACCACATTTTCAATTTAAAAAAAATCTCAAATTCTATTTTTTACAAAATCAAACAGAAAATTAGTGTCACCTAATGCCATCATCCGAAAGTTTGTGTAATTGAAGATTTCCATCACGATGAGTTAAATTCGCATATACATTTTCTGTTTGAGATTTACGACTTGATAATGAACTGCCTAAAAATATGCTCACCTGACAATTCTTTTATAAATTTGTGCAAAAAATGCGAAAATTGTAAAAAAAAATTGAATTAAATCAACTTTTTCCATTATAATATTAAAACATATCTAAATCTTCTATCAGCTTTTTGCCAAAAGAAACCAGTAAATCTTAGCACTAAATTCAATCTAAAAATTGAAAGATTAACTTAATACTTTTTGATTAAAATGAAAAAAACAGCAGAGTAAGTTATTCAATAACTTTTACTTATTCTAACTTTTAAACTTTCTAAACTATTATTGAATATAAATAATACTTTTTTATCATTTTTAACTTACAATTTAAATTAGTTTTGTCTACATTTCTATCATTATTTTCTCTTTTATTATTGCACAAAACCATGCATTAATTTGAAGCCAGCATAGGAAGTAGTAATACATGCAATCAAAAAAAGAAACGTAAGCACAAGCACTAAAAATCAGTGGTTGGAAACAACTTTTACAATTAGTAAAATTCTACTATGCAAATATTTTCCATATCTTATCATGATTATCGTTTGAAGTGTAAAATAATTCTTTACTAAAATGAATTAGTAAGTTATTAATTTGATTAAAACAAAGAGAATATTTATAAGAAAATGAATTAGAGAAAGACAGGAATTGAAAATAAGAGATATTAGATGCATAAAATAGTCATTACTATTAGTAGTAGTGCAAAAATTATTTATACATTTTTATAAGGTAATGACAAGTAATATCGATATATTAATATAATTATTGTCTTACGTAATTAAGCTAAAGATAACTGAAGAAGAAATTTTCAAAAATCACTACTTAAAATTTGAATAGGAAAATGAACAAAAAGTTATCTCTATTACTAAACTGCAGTACTGATGAATTTAATAAAAATAATAAATGAAAAGTCACGGGTGTTATAATATGGTGTAGAATAATTTTAAGATTATAATTTTTAAAAATGATGGTGATAATGCTAATAAAGTGATAATTTAAGAACGATAAGCACCTTTAGTACGTTTGCTAGTAAAATCTCCATTAAGAGCTGAATTTTCTGATGCAATACTAAGTGGTATATGTTTGATGACCATTTTCGGATTATTTATTAACGGTGATCGAGTACTGATGCGGCAATTTGGTGTATTGTCAGGTGTTGAAGGCTGCGAGCTACCACAGCCAGAATCTGACCCATTATTAGCAGCTACCAAAATCATTGACCGAGACATCCCAGCAGCAGAAAGCGAAGCACTTCGACTAGCTATAATAGTGCAAGCAAAAAAACAAATGAATGATAGTTAGCAAAAATAAAAAGCAAAAAAAAAAAATGCATAATTTATAAAAATTAAAATATAACTAACTAGAAAAGAAAATGAGCAAAACTAATACTAAAAAATTTATGCTTAATTTAAACATTTTTAAATGATTGCAAATCAGTCAATTTTTGTAGCTTTTATTTAAAATTAATATTTCAATTGCTTCATAAATGCTTCAGAACTCAAATAATTATTATTTTAAGCAAGAAAAATCGAGAGCAAACATGTCAATTAAAATAAAAAGATAATAACAAAATGCATTAGCTTTAGTATTAAAAAAAATTTTTGTATTATATACTGAATGGATTATGCAAAATTTTATTAAAATAAATAAAAATTAAAAAAAATTGTTTTTAAACTTCATAATCAAGCAAAAATTGAGCTTCTAACAATACTGAATATTTTTAAAGTATGAAGTATATACGAGAATTTTTGGAAACTTGAAAGGACCATGCAGAAATATGCAGCAAACTTCGTGCACAAATAAAAAAACTGAGGTAAATTCGTTTATTATTTGTAAAGTAAATAATACGTTAGCAAAAATGAATAAGGTAGTAAACTTGCTTGCTTATTTACTTGTTATTTAATAAAATTGTTCATTGTGCAATGAAGAATGGTTAAATTTTCCATTACACTTTTTACATTATGCAATATTTCCTTTTTTATCATTCATTATTCTCATTGCATGAAGTAAATTAGCAATTTATTGCAAAAAATGTGCATTTTCCGATCTTAAATGGACTTTATTTTTCTTAAAACTAATATTTGCGCAAAAAATTTACAAAATTGAGTAAAAATTAAAAGCAGAAAGGAAAAAATTTGACTTTGTTACGTGTAATTTATTATTGTTTAAAATTTGTTATGCACACTCTTATTTTTAAATACATTCAATTTTTTTAGTCAAAAAAAGTACTGTTTTATTTACTTTTAGTTATAGTTAAAGAAAGCAAAATGGTCACCACTACTTAATAATGTCTGATATACAAAATAATATTAGCATGAAAAAAAAAAAAGTGAACAAACCAGCAACACTATGACGATTAGCAATATTCTGTTCCATATTAGGTTGTGCTATAGTAAACTGCTGTCCATATGAAGAAACGTGTCTTGGACTGACCATAGCTAAAGTAGCAGCAGATGTTTCTCTGCCTACTGCAGATAACCTAAAATTAATTAATTATTCGATACCATTAAGCAGATTTAATCTGAATTAGTAAACTCTTTTAATCATTTTAGCTCTTATATATTTGCATAAAACAACGATCTATCATTGAAATTAACAAAAATTTATGCTAAAAATTATCCATTAATTTATTTGCATGCAAATTACATAATTTTATATATGACACGGAAATAATCATTTTGTGTTATCAATTTTTTTTCTACAACTTTTTATTCAGTATCAATAGTGATGCTTATTTTGGTAAAGTAGAACATACAAAAGAAATTATTAGGTAAATTTATTATTAAAGCATTTTAATAAGAACAAATATACATTACCGATAGGGATTGTCATCTGAAATTCGATAGAAATTCAGTAGGTGAGTTTTGCGATCTAATGAGTGATATCCTGTCATAGATGAGAATCCTAAAAATATAATATATTTATGCATAAAAAGAAGAATTAAAGAAGAAAATCAGAGCAAAGTTAGGTACAATAATAAATATTATTATTAGCAAGCAAAAAAAAAACATTTTTGTAATTTCATATTTTTTGTGAATACAAAAAAAGATACAAAAATGGTGCAGTAAAAGGCTGCTACATTTTTATACATTGTAAATGCTATTAAAAAAGATTTTGCTTTTAACAATATGCAATGCTTTGCATTAAACAGCAAAAATTTTTGATGCAAAATACAATTAGATATTTATATGATACTCATTTGAAGTCGAGAAATGGTTCATAAAATATTTATTATACTTTTACTGTACAAAAAATGGGCTAATATTTTTTTAATGATCATTGCCACCTGTTAAATATGTTTTATAAAATAAATCTACTCTTTTTCAGAGTTTTAAAAAGAAAAGATTATGCAAAACAGCTGAAATATAATCCCTATTGTATGAAGAAATTTTAATTTCATGAAAAAAGTATTCGTACCAAAGTTATCTTTGATTCTTAAATAAGCATGTAATTTTGATACTTTTTATGTCTGAAACAAGGATGTGTTTACATGGCTCATGTACATATAGTTATTTAGGAATAATAAATCAAACTTTACCAATAAATATGATAAAATAAATATCAATTTAACTTTATATATTTTAAAAATTATTTTTATAATCGTCACTTACGTATTGCAACATTTGATGAACTATAAATATGTAATAACATAACAAAGTTAACAGTATTAACAATACCTTTTGAATTTAATTTAATTTAATTGATAATTTAAAGAAAAATGCAAAATCTCCATGTATAAAATTCTATTTTGCATATACTCTGAAGAATTAAAAAATTTGAATATTGATTAAATACTGTCAAATTTAAAATCAAAATTTTTATAATGCAAAATTTTCGAGAATATTTAGTTTTAATCGGTTAAAGATCAGATGGAGCGGAAAAGAAATGATTGGTCTGACATATTCATCATTTCCCTTGAAAATGCTTGAAAAATTTTGGAACCTTTAATAAATGAGTTTGAATTATTTGCAGTAAGAGGTCTAAAAATGCTCAAGTTGTCTGACTTTCTGATTTCATCGAAAGTTTTGCAAAAAAGTTTGAAAAAATAGAGAATAAAAATTTTAAAAATGTGCAGTTTAGCACTTATTTATTTGGCAAAATGTTAGTATCTAATGGATTAGTTATGTCGTGGAATATAATTTGTAAATAATAACATAAATTGCTTCCTTTATAACAGATGCTTACTAAAGTGAAGGAGTGAAAATAATGACCGGTTTGTTAATCAAATAAACAAAAGTAGTTTGATATTAGTTTCTGGATTTAAAATTTAAAGGGATGAAGAATTGAAGCAAAATTAGAAATGTCACAAAATTATGCAATAATTATTTTGTATTTTTCAATTACATTAAGTTCAATTATTGTTATTATAATGGTTCTGACAGAAAAGTATAATGGTTTAAATAAACTTGTGCTTATCGGTGAAGTTAACAAATGATAAGAAAAAAGTTATGGATAAGAATTGATGTAAGAAATATGAAATATATAAAAACTGATAAGAGAACAAAATTGTTCAAAACTTGTTAACCAAGGATTTGAATTGATTTATAAATAACACTGAAAATCCAGACCTTTAAAAGTCAATTCACATTTGTTTTTCAAACGTAGAAAAAACAAAACTTATTTGATCGCATTTGCAATTTGTATCTATATAGCTCTGTCTATACTGATACAATATGCATTTTTAACTTGTGAATACAAACTTAAAGTTACCTGGTCCAGCTTGAACTTGATGATCTTGCTTAGAAGGCATGCGTAAAGATGTTCGTGCAGAACCGTTTCTGACACACAAAGTATCACCGTCGTCACTGAGAGTTAATTGTGGTACTGGAAAAGCAACATTACCTAACGTGTGATAAACTGCATGCTGTCCACAATCGTTATAGCGTGAAGCCTGAAAAAAAAATACAGCATAATTTCTTACATTACGGTATTTTACTAAAAGTTCAAAAGTTTATTCATTTATTTATTCGTTTCATTTAATCGTTTTTTTATTCATTTGATAAAATAACAGTTTCATTTCTGATAGAACTAATTATTAAAAAACTTAAAATGAAAAATCAACAGTATAGTATTACGCTTTAAAAATTGGACAGTAAGAAAAATTTTGATTTGAGCTAAATCAAATATCGGTTTGATTTCAGTTGTTAATAGTTTCAAATAAATTGGAAGGTTTATTTTAGCAGAAATAATTTAAAAGTTAAAATTAGCAGTGAATTAGCTAAAGATGGAATATAATTATTCTATTCAATCTTTAGCTCTAATAACCAAACCAATTTAAAATACAATATTTTGCTACTTTCAATTCAAATTATTTGTCAAACAAGCTTATAATTTTACAATATAAGTCATGAGTTAAAATAATTCAAAAATTGAATCATCATAACCTACATATATTTTCAAGAATAGTCCTGCTGATATCCGAGTTAGTTAGTTAGTTAGTTAGTTAGTTCCAAGTATGCAAGTAAAGTAAGCACAGAATAAGTAGATGAATGCTGTAGAGATAGAAAGAAATTTCAGACAAAATTGTGTAACAAATGTGAGGCACCTGCTACTTACTGCGCGTTTATTATTATTAGTCAATGAGGTCATTATTTCTGGGAACAAAGCAAGCGGGAAATGTCAGATTATCAAAGTCTTCGAAAAGTGCTGCTTGAATGAGTGAGCGAGCGGGTAAATTATGTTGCAAGCAGCTGGATTTCGTTTTTACTTACTACTTTTACTTCTTTACTTACTTCTACAACTGCTACTGTTAATCTATGCATTAAGCTACTACTTAATGCTAATTTTTTTCTGCTTATGCTTGTGAATAAACGAATGAACAAATTCAAACATTCAATATTTTTATGTAAAAATTGAATTTTCATTAATTTTTTAAATAAAAATTTCATTTTTATAATTTTAGCTTATAAAATAAATGTATGTTATTACTGAACAGTTTTACCTCTGATTAAATTTATTTGCATTAAATTAGTACTTTTAGGAGAAAAAAAAAATTAAAATTACCATCAAAATTTGTCGATTATACCCACCCAAAGTTAGGAATAAAGAATAAAATAATTCTCAGAAAGAAAATTTGCTAGCAGTATTTGAAACTGTGATTGTATAAATCATACTAAATACAAAAATTGAAATTTATGCAAAAATCGAACTAGAAAAGTTTAAAATTTTTGCTTTGGGCAAGAAAAAAATACAATGGTTATTTATTACTAATAAAAGAGTTCTTTCAAGTCCAGTCAAATCCATTGGCTTCAAATTATAAGAAATATGTCATTAATTGGTAAAAATCAGTGATTATAAATGTTAAAAACGATTTAACTAATTTAATTATTTAATTACCTTTTTATGCTATTAAATTATGAATTAACTCGAAAGAATCAATAAACTGCTTTGAGCAAACCAGTTACAAATTAAAACCTGTGCACTACATGCGACACCTCGATGACTTGTACGACATTTTTGAAGCAGCTGATCAATGTTTTCACGTTCCAGCATGCGACGTTGCTGTAGCCTTACAGCATTTGAAGTGTGTGGTTGCGATGCACTTGAACTTCGTTTTGTATGCACCGTAGGTTGTCGGCTTGTTGTCACGTATTTTCGCTGGTAATCATTTAATTTGCCATATGCCGCGGCGGTAGCTGTCATTGGATAATCTGATAAAGAACTGAAAAAAGTTTTGTTTAAATTCCTGAAAATAACGATGGCGTGAATTTTAATATAGGTTACTTTTATAATTAAATGTTTTGAAGAGAGAATAAATTTTAAATTTTCAAATCAAAAAATATCCACTAAATGTAAAAATTTTTATTCTCGTATAAGAATAAAGTCATTTCCTGTTACTTCTAAGTGATCTCAGCGAATATTGCAGTCTAAGTAAGGAAGAAAAGGTATTGCAAATAAATCTTGCATCTAAATTTAAAAAATTGACTCTTAAACAAACAGTGTCCGGTCAAAACAAATAACTGCTTTGGAAAATGTAAGAAAGCGTTATGAGCTGTAAATTGGAATTAAAAAAAGGAAAAATTTATGGTTATTACTTCAAAATATCAAATTACAATAAACGAATGGCAATAATTAGTAATTGTTTAAATTATAAGTGTATGTAAAAATATTGTTTTTATTAATATCTTTTAGCGAAATTCGAAATTACTATATTTCATTTATAATTTGATTAAAGAAATAAAACTATAAAACAGTGTGTTATTGCAATAGAAATTTGAAGTTATGAATTAATTATCTGCCACTATTTGTGAATTAATTTTAAACAAATCCTTTCAGTATTTTTTATTAAAAAAAATTTCATATTTACTAAAGCGTAAAAAGAATACTCTAAAAGCAGAAGTAATTTTTTTCTATTCCATTTTCTCATTCACACAGAAATGTTGTTTGTCATTCTAACAATTAAAGTTTATTTGTGCTAAAAGTAAGCAAACTTTGTCAAAATCGTCAAAAATATTGAATTTGTGAAAGTTTTTTCACACTTGACTGAACGATATAATAGTAAGAGCAGAAACAATTTTTTGCTCAGCTGAATATTTGAGTGAAAGAAAATTTGTAGTTTCTAAGCTCATAAACAAACCTTCCAGTAAGATCGTCTGTAGATATATCGTCAAGATTTTCTGATATTCCACTTGATAATGATGAACTGTCTTCAAAACTGAAACAGCATTAATACAAATTAAAAATTTTATCCATAAAAACAGTACACAATATCACAAATTATCATAATTTTACTCTTTCACAAAAAATAAAAAAATACGATACTTGCTAAGATGTAAAAAAAAATATTTATAAATTAATAATCTATTTTCATTATTATTAATTAGTGGCTTTTTGGTGTTCATTGTAATTAATTGGAATAGAACTTTGACTAAAATGAATCATCATACGAGAATAATTAATAATTAGTGTAAAATATAGAAGTAATTGTATTTGATTCATTAATTAAGACTTATAATTCTACTAATATCATTTACATTACAAATGAACAGAATAATGACTGTGCAGTTATAAGTTACAATTGGTCAGAATTTAAATTAGAGTCTATTTAATTGAGCAACTTGTAACAAATTTAACTTTGAAGAGAGAATTAATAAATCCATAAAATATAATAACAGCACGAATAATTTATGCTTTGCAGGGAGCTTTTATGCATTATCATATTTCAAAAATGAATAAGATTAAATAGCAAATTATCAAAATACTTTAAAGATTCTTTAAAGAAGTCTGTTTAATTCATTAAATCAAATTGGTAATTGAAACTTAAAAATTTTTTTTTCTAACCATCTTGTTATGAGGGTATTAGGAGAAAATTATTTTCAAACTTTCATTCAATTTCATATTTTTAATAGTATTGCAAAAATTTCATTTCATGTTTTTCACAAAATCAAGACTAGAATTAGTCAATTATTTAAATAATCAAAATAGTGTCAGCGTTGGAAAACTTTAATTATATACACTTATAACGAATTATTTTCAATGCAAGCCAGTGCTTGACTAGAAAAAGTATAGCACAATACAAAGAACGAAAATATTTATGTTTTTCACAAAAGTAAGACTAGAATTAGTCAATTTTTTTGGTTATATCAATGGCCGTGATGGGAGTATAGTGGGTAAATCTGATAGGTACTGAGAACAAATTTTTCAAACGAACAAAAAAAATGGAATTTAGATCATCATTGTCCCAGGCACAGTAAAATCAGTAAAGTGACCTCATAACAGTAAAAAGTGGTTTGCCTACAAGTTTGAATAAAAGAAAAAGGATCTGTGGCAAAAGAGTTTGGATCATTTCATATTTATTACAATAACTTATTTTTCGTAAAAAACTTATGGGTGCATTAAATGGTTTAAATTAATTCTTAAATACATGAAGTCGTTGGAAAGTAGTCAACAAAAATTAAAATAAACGGTTATGGATCACTTATTATTGTATTTTCAGTTGGTTTTTCAAAGTATATTAGAAGCAGAACTAGAATTCAGTTAATTTGATAAAATGTGAAAAAAATGCTATA